CTATTAGAAAACACTTATGACTCTTGAATTTTATTTAATTTTAAAATGTATTTGAAAAATCATTCATGTTTCATGATTTTAAATTGAGCAGAGGTGAAATTTGGTGATTAGAAATTCTTGTGCTGAGCTTTGTCTTGACTAAGTTTTCTCCTATTTTCTCCTTGTGGTCAGAATTCTGTCTCTTCTCTTTTGCCTTCTTTACAAAGCAAAATCTGATTTCTCTCCTGATTGTTACTGATCCTGTCTTCCAAGTCAGAGACAAAGTTCATGGTTGGGTGCTCATGGTGGTTTATTGGGCTTGAAAACCTCTTTCTCCCTACAGTTTACAGATAGAAAGTATTACAGATAGTGGTACAAATACTCAGTTCTTCTCTCTCTCTCTTTTTTGACCTTTTACTGAGATTTATTTTTTAATTATTTTTGTTATTATTATTTCATTGAAGTCACCTTGGTTTATAATATTGTGTAAATTTCAGTTGCATTTCTACTTTTATATTTCTCCTTTTTTTTTTTTTTTTTAGATTGGCACCTGGGCTAACCACTGTTGCCAATCTTTTTTCTTTTGTTTCTGCTTTATCTTCCCCAAACTCCCCCTGTACACAATTGTATATCTTAGTTGCAGGTCCTTCTAGTTGTGGGATGTGGGACGCCGCCTCAATGTGGCCAGACAAGTGGTGCCATGTCCGCACCCAGGATCCGAAGCCTGGGCGGCAGCAGCGGAGCGCCCAAACTTAACTACTTGGCCACCGAGCCAGCCCCAATATATATTTCTACTTTTGTATAGACAGCATCATGTTCAGCCCCAAATGTCTAGTTTTCATCGGTCACCATATTTATGTGTCCCTTTACCCTTTTGCCCTGCCCGCACCTCCTTCCCCTCTGGTAACCACCAATCTGTTCTTTTTAGCAACGTGTTTGTTTCTTTGTTTAACTTCCACATGTGAGTGAAATCACACAGTGTTTGTCTTTGTCTGACTTTTTTCACTTTGTATAATACCCTTAATGTCTATGCATGTTGTCACAAATGGCATGATTTCAGCCTTTATTTTGGCTGAATATTATTCCATTGTCTATAAGTACTACATCATTTTTATCCATTCATCCACTGATGGACTCTTGGATTGCTTCTAAACCTTCACTATTGTGAATAGTGCTGAAATTAACATAGGGGTGCATACATGTTTTCAAATTAATGTTTCCATGTTCTTTGGATAGATAGCCAGGAGTGGAATAAATAGGTCATAAGATATTTCTAATTTTAGTTTTTGGGGAAATCTCCTTCCTGTATCTATACTGGCTGCCTCAGTGTGTATTCCCTCCAGCAGTGTATGAGGGTTCCTTTTGCTCCACATCCTCTACAGTACTTGTCATTTCTTGGCTTTTTAATAGTAGCCAGTCTGACAGGTGCGAAATGATATCTCCTTCTAGTTTTGATTTGCATTTCTCCAATAGTTAGTGATGTTGAGCATCTTTTCATGTGTCTATTGAACATCTGTACATCTTTGCAAAAATGTCTGTTCATATCCTCTGCCCATTTTTGATTGAGTTGTTCATTCTTTTGGTATTAAGTTGTATGAGTTCTGTATGTATTTTGGAAATTACCCTCATATCTGATATATGATTTGTAGATATTTCTTTCCCAGTGGGTGTGTTCTTTTGTTTTATGATGGTTTCTTTACCCCTACAGAAGGTTTTTAGTTCAATGTAGTCCCATTTCTTTATTTTTTCTTTTGTTTCCCCTGCCTGAGGATCCATGGAATTCAAAAAGATCCTGAAAACATTGATGTCAAGGGTGCACTGCCTATGCTTTCTTCTAGGACTTTTATGGTTTCAGGTCTTACATTTAAGTCTTTAATCCATTTTGAGTTAAATTTTGCATATGGTGTAAGATAATGGCTTACTTTCATTCCCTTTTATGTGGCTGTCCAGTTTTCCCAACACCATTTATTGAAGAGACTTTCCTTTCTCCATTGTATATTCTTGGCTCCTTTGTCAAAGATTAGTGTTCATAGATGTGTGATTTTATTTCTGGACTCTCAATTCTGTTCCACAGATATGTGAGTTTGTTTTTCTGCCAGTACCATCCTGTTTTGATTACTATAGCTTTGTCGTATATTTTGAATTCACAGGTGTGATACCTGCAGCTTTGTTTTCTTTTCTCAGGGCTGCATTGGCTATTTGGGGTCTTTTGTTGTTCCACATAAATTTTAGGATTCTTTGGTCTATTTCCATGAAAAACATCATTGGGATTCTAATTGAGGTTGCATTGAATCTGTAGAATAGTTTAGGTAACATGGGCATTTAAAGTGTGTTAATTCTTCCAACATGTGAGCACAGAATATCTTTGCATTTCTTTGTGCCTTCTTCAATTCCTTTCAACAATGTCTTATAATATTCAGTGTCCAGGGCTTCATCTCCTTGGTTAAATTTATTCCTCGGTGATTTATTCTTCTTGTTACAATTGTAAATAGAATTGTATTCTAGATTTCTCTTTCTTCTTGGTTGTTTTTAGTTTATAGAAACAACTCATTGATGTGTTTATTTTTTTGGTAAGGCAGATTGACCATGAGCTAACAAATATTGCCAATCTTCCTCTTTTAGCTTGGGGAAGATTGTCACTGGGCTAACATCTGTCCCAATTTTCCTCTATTTTGTATGTGGGATGCCACCAGAGCCTGGATTGATGAGTGCTGTGTAGGTCTGTGCATGGGATCTGAATCCATGCACCCCAGGCCATGAGAACTTAACTAATCTGAGAACTTAACCAGCATGAGAACTTAAGCACTATTTCATCAGGGGGCCCTGAAACAACTGATTTTTATGTGTTGATTTTGTACCCTAGAACTTTGAATTTCATTTATAATTTCCAACAGTCTTTTGGTAGATTCCTGTGGGTTTTCTACATAGAAAATAGTGACAAATGGTGACAGTTTTACTTCTTCCTTTAGAATTTGGATAGTTTTAATTTCCTTTTCTTGCCTAATTGCTCTGGCTAGGATTTCCAATATGATGTCAAATAAGAGTGGTGAAAGCGGGCCTCCTTATGTTGTTCTTGTTCTTGGGGATAACTTTCAGGTTTTCACCACTGACTATGATGTTACCTATGATTTTATCTTGTAAGGTCTTTATTATGTTGCGGTAGTTTCTTCTATACACATCTTATTGAGAGTTTTTGGCATAAGTGGGTGCTTAATCTTATCAAATGCTTCCTCTGCAACTATTGAGATGATCATGTGATTTTTACTCTTCATTTACTTAATGTGGTGTATCACATTGATTGGACTGTGGATGGTGAACCACTCACATCCCTTGAAGAAATTTCACTTGATTGTGGTATATGATCCTTTCAGTGTACTGTTGTATTCAATCGGCTAATATATTGTTCAGAATTTTTGCATCTATGTTTATGATCGATTTTGGCCATTAATTTTCTCTTTTTGAGTCATCCTTATCTGTTTTTGGTATCAGGGTAATGTTGAACTTGTAAAATGAATTAGAAAGCATCCCCTTCTCTTCAAATTTTTGGAAAAGTTTGAGAAGGATAGGTATTATATCCTCTTTGAATGTTTGGTAAGCTTTACCAGAGACATTGGCTGATGCTGGACTTTTCTATTTTGGGAGGTTTTTGATTGCTGTTTAAATCTCCTTGAAAGTCACTGGTCTATTCAGATTCTTTATGTCTCCTTGATTCAGTTTTGTAATGTTGTATTATATTGGGAATTTATCCCTTTCTTCAGGGTAATTTCCTTGCATATAGTTTCTCATAGCACTTATAATCCTTTGTATTCCTGTGGTATCTGTCCCACTTTCTCCTCTTTCATTTCTGCTTTTATTTATTTGAGCCTTCTCCCTTTTTGTCTCAGTGAACCTATTAAAGGTTAGTCAATTTTGTTTATCTTTTCGAAGAGTCAGCTCTTAGTTTCACTAATCCTTTCCATTTTCTTTTCAGTCTCTCTTTCATTTATGTCCACTTTGATTTTTATTGTTTCCTTCTTTCTACTGATTTTGGGCTTCATTTATTCTCCTTTTTCTGGTTCCTTTAGGTGTAATGTCAAAGTGTTTATTCGAGATTTTTCTTGCTTTTAGAGGTAGACCTGCATTGTACTAACTTTCCTCTTAGTACCACTTTTGCTGTATCCTATAGATTTTGGTCTGTTGTGTTTCATTTTCATTTGAATTTAGGTGCATTTTTATTTATTCTTGGAATTGTTCATTGATCCAATAGTGATTTCGTAGCATATTTGTGACTTTTCCAGCTTTCTTCTTATCATTGAATTCTAGTTTCACATTCTATGATCACAAAGCATGCATGATGTGATTTCAAATTTTAGCTGAAACAATCTGTTATTTCATAGAATATAAAATTCTACAGATTTCTTCTTTTATACCCTGAAAAGTAATGCCATCCCATAGATTATTTTCTCTTTTGGCATTACCACGTAAAGAATTACATTGCCAAATGGTAAATGTGACTTTATTAAAACTGTAGAAATTTGTTCACATTTCTCAAGTACATGTATTGGCATATTTCCATTTCAGTTACTGAAAAGTTTCTCCCTTTCAGAAATACATTCTCAAATTGCTAACGAAGCAACTCTAGTGTTTGTGAGAACAAAAGTGCCTTTCCTTTGATGTATCTCTGAGCACTTTCAACACAATTGAACACCTGGAAATAAATAAGTATTCTTAAATCTCTGAATGCTTTTCTTAGTAATTTATAAAAGTAGTTAGTTGGCCAGTGGGCCTGATCTCTTCTTCTTCCTCTCTTATTTTTTCTGTTTTCCATCAATGTTTTTCAATGATTAGTGCCTTGTAGGAAAAAAGATATTTGGGTCAATTTATCTGAGGACAACATACAAAATATCTGATGTCACAAAACTTATATTCAAGGACTTCCAAAGAACCCAGAAGATCAAATTGCCAGTACAATCTTTTCACTGCTAGTTACATCATAAAGCTTAGGAGGAGGCTGAGTTTTTGTAGAAGCTTTAACCAGTGTGATAGATCAAACTGGATCAAGAAATTTGGAAAAGGAACTAAGCTCATAGTAACTCCATCTGGTAAGTAACTTTCATCTATTTTTACTCTAGTAATGAAAAAGTGATATATGCTTTTTAGAAAAAGCAATTCAAGATTACTCTTATCTGACTGCCACATAGTTGGTCTCAGCATATGAACGGCATGTTTGCAGCTACTGGTCCATGTACACAAAAACAAAACAGTTTTTAAATGGTTTGTTCACGTCCCTGCTTGTAAGCAGACTGAAATTCTTCTTTTAGAATACATAGACAAAAAATGATCAACTCAAGCTAAAAATTAAGATATTTTGAGGAGTGTGTCTGTTAACCAAAAGTTATTGGTTCAAGATGCTTTTCTCCTAGATTGTCTTTTAAGTGAGAGATACTTTTATTAATTACCTCTTCTCTATATTTTGAGATAAAATGTAGTGCCCCTTTCTCACAATAACCTGCAAAATCTATAGTATTGATCATCTCATTCTTGACAGCAGTGAAAAACATCAATTCTTAAAGTAAATGAGTATAGAATATAGATAAGTCTCATTTCTTATTATTCTAGCTTCTAAGAGGTAGACTGAGATCAGTCCAAAGTTATGCTATCACAACTTTTGTAGTGTTGCCTAGAGATGGGCCAGTTTAAGGGAATTTGTAAGCCAAATAAGCCATTTCAGCTCCAAAGTCCATTAAATGAGTCTGCCTGGTTTTACATCCTCATTTGCGTGTTCATTCTGTCAGCAAACGTTCATTGAAGACAATTTCTGTGTTGGATGCTGGAGATAAGTGGGGGAAGAAGATCAAGATAGAACAAGTCTCAATATTCCAAAAGTTTCTGGTCTAGTGGATAAGTGTTCTAACTCCAACCAGGTCCTTGGAGACACTTTTCTGCCTCACCTATCGAGGAGGACATTCAAAAGGAGTCAACTAGTTAGAACAATTGTGGACCCCTAAGAAGTTGAGATGTTAAGTCCATTTGGCATTCCTATGTTCAAAATTTCATCATGAAGTTTATATATTTTACTTACTTTATTCCAAAAATAACCAATGGGATAAGATGAACACACATTGATAAACTTGTCATTTGGTGCGAGGATGATTAACACCAACATTTAACTGGGCAGCCAGATTCGAGAATGTCACAAGATGGTTTGTTTTTTCTAAATTCATCCTAATAAATTTGTTCATTCCTCATTAGCCTTAAATATGAAATTCTGCCTTAATGCGGGAGAATATCTCACAAGCGTGTTCCTAGCCTACTAGATCCACTGAATTGAAACTTGTCAAATAATTTTCCAGAGGTGCTAAGGCATTGAAAGAATTTATATAATTTGATTTCCATAGTCATTGTGATCATATAAACAAAGAATTCACAAATTGAAAATCAAATTTTCAGTCCTTTTTTCCCAACTGACTGCGTATTCATTGTAAATTCTAGCAATCAAATTAAATAATGGTGACACAGATATAAGTCATGTAAAATGTCAGGGAAGCATTTCTTAATCTAGTCTGTTATTCTATAAATGTGCAACGTAAGCATGAACTGTAGAGCTTTATTCTCAAGTAATATTTACCAAATCCATGGTACGTTTTTACATTTTCTTTCACCAGTGCTAGCTCCAAAACTAGCAGTAATTGAGTTCATTTCATGTAGAGATCTTGCACAAGTAGTAGTTTTTAATCACAGCAGAGTATCAGAAGAATATCTTTTTATATGGGAAGTAGCACTCGGACTGCAACATATGGTGACCCCTGTTTTCTGAGGGGATATTTTGGGAAAGAGAGCCTCACTTTATGTTCTGGTGCTGTCAGTCTATTTGAATTCTGCACGTTTTGTATCTATATCACAGAACTAGAGTTTGCAAACATATCCCTCACCTCTCATGTCATATTCAACTTAGACCTTACTCAACTATCAACTGCTGGTTCACAAAAAGAAGTGCTATAATGCACAAACTATTTGTCATTTATTTCAACTGCCTATTTCCAAAATCTATATAAGACCTAAAATCAAATACACAAGTACAGGCATATCTCACTTTGTGGCACTCTGCTTTACTGCACTTCGCAGATACTGCATTTTTTAAAGCTTGAAACTTCCTGGCAAACTTGCGTCAAACAAGTCTATCAGCACCATTCTTCTCAAAGCTTTTGCTCACTTCATTTTTCTGTGTCACCTTTTGGAAATTATTCCAATATTTCAAAATTTTTCATTTCTCAAGAATTTTTTTCTTTTCTTCTCAAAGAAGAAATTTAATTCTTCTTTTTTAAAGAAATTGTCCATTGAATTACACAACTCCAAGCTGGCACAAAGACCATATTAGTAAAGAATTTGTGTGTCAATTGGAAATCAAACTGAAAAGAGTTTTAATATTTATGATCCCCATCATTAGATTATCAGTAAATGTATAGGCAACTGACACTCCAGCGTCCAAGTGATGTGTCTTTGTAAACTATGATTTTTTTGTGATATACTTTGACAAATATCCGCAAGAGACTCTGGAACTGTGACATTTCACATTACACCACATATATATATATATATATATATATATATACTTTATTAAACAGGTCAAAACAAAGGAAATATTGGAGCTCTAAAACTGTTCAGCAGGCTTATAGGATAGATACAAGTTTTGGAAGAGGCATTGAGAGACATAATGTTGTGTATTCTTCATCACGCTTAAACAACAAGAAATTCCAAAATAAAATGTACTTTTGATGAGCATATTCTAAAGTGAAACAAAATTCTGATGAGTGCCTTTACTTGATACGATTACTGTAATGTCATTTCTGAAAACAATCAATTAATTTATTAATAGGAGTTTTAGAAACATGGCTTTTTGCTTCTAAATTCAAGGCATTGTAAATAATTTGGAGGTTCATCTTAAATACTGCCCTACTCAAAAATCTTGGATGGTTCTAAAGTGAAATTGAGATGTTTTATAAAAGTAGGCATCACGTAGGAGAAGTCCATCACCTCAGAAGTGAGCATGAGATCCAGATTTGAAACTAACAAGTCAACTTGATTGTCAAGTAGATGTGGAAATGAATACCCATTAACAAGTGATGGTGCATTGTTTTAAAAAATGAAAACTTTTCTCTGATACTCATTTACACAGCAAATAAGACAAATATGGTGCTTTCCAGAATGTGTTAAATCAAGAGGGAGGTTTCATAGAGTTGCAGGATGTGAGAATGTATTTTTTGGCCATACATAGCATGGGTTACAAAACTCATGGGATGGGAAAAGGGAAGTACTTTAGAAAGGACCAAACATTCTCATGTGTGGAGACATCATCTAAGTTACCTGGTCTCCTCCCCCATCGCCGCCACTTCCCCATTCACCTTAACACATGCTCCACTATGATAGAAAAAAAGAGATTTAAAAAAATAAACATGTTCATGAGTGTTAGATGCCTTGAAATGGCACAGTTACAAGTCATACCCAATCTTAACACGTGGAGAAAGAACAAATGCCATTTTTTAACCCAGGCTCTGCCACTTAATATCTGTGACTCTGGGCAAGTTACATAACCTCCAGAACCTCTTTTCCCATTGAAACTAAAACCAATAAGTACCTTGTAATCTATAGTGGATGAAAGGCCATGGAAAGCACTAATCAGTGGGATATTTTCTTCCTTTTTTTATCCCTTAGGTTGTTACAAATCAAACAATGTTTGCGCTTCTCTAGTGATTCTTTTTAATTGCTGTTCTACTTTCCCCCACAGGCAGACGCCTTCCTGCAGACATTTCCCCCAAACCCACCATCTTTCTTCCATCAATTGCTGAAATAAAGCTCCAGAAGGCTGGGACATATCTTTGTCTTCTTGAGGAATTCTTCCCTGATGTTATCAAGGTATTTTGGAAAGAAAAGAACAGCAATACAATTCTGGAATCCCAGCAGGGAAATACCATGAAGACTGATAACACTTACATGAAACTCAGCTGGCTGACCGTGACTGGAAAGTCAATGGATAAAGAACACAGATTCATTGTCCAACATGAGAACAATAAAGGAGGGGTTGACCAAGAGATTCTTTTTCCTTCAGTCAACAAAGGTACGTATATATAAATAAAACCTGCCAAAACACTTTTTTTCAAAGAGAACATCCCATCTTTTCTGTCAAGTGTTAATGAAAACACAAAGAAACATAAATCTTTTCTTAAACATTGTTCCCTTTGTTGGTAGGAGAAATGTCCTTTCATATCCCCAGAGAACAAAAATAGAATAGGCTTTGGAACATAAAAAAGCAAATTTCCTTCACTTTTCTCAGTCGTAGTTTCATCAACCAAAATATTAAGATCTCAGTGATGTTTTTAGGGTTGTTGTGTGGATTAAATGAGATAACACACATGAAAGCATCTAACAATTTAGCACACAAAACATGCTCAGAAAGAGATTCCGCTTTTGATGATCTTACTTCATCAGGAAATAAGAACACGTATACATCTTTCAGGAATGTTCTACTCAGGAAACAAAGTCAGTTTCAAATTCATCTTGCTATACTCAGAGTATAACGCAAACCAATGCTATTAGGTGACCAAATGGTGTGCATTCAATGGAGCCAAATCGCGATGGAACGAAAAATAGAATAGTGAATAGTGCCTTACACAGCAGTAATCACTCAATAGTTCCTAGTTTTTATTCATATTGCTGTCATGTCCAGAAACATAACTCCAGAAAGTCCTGTGCATTAGTTGGGGATATGGGGTATGCATGCTTTGGAAAAATCTGCATGCTTCTTTTCCTTCAATGGGAAATCTGCCTAAAGCAGATTCTTTCAAAGGTGAGATTCTGTTGTGGATACTAAGATTTGATGAACTGATTTTTGTAGCAACTCTTCCTGGCAGCGGTGTGTGCTGAAGTCTGTAGAGTAGCCGTATTTTCTGTTTATTTTTCCATTCAACAAGTGTTTCTCCATCACCTCCTTTGTGGCAGTCACTGTGCTAGGAGCTGTGAATACAGATGAAAAATAAGATAGCCTTGGATATTACCGTCCAGTTGTGATAAAGAAGAAAAATAATGTATCCTTCATCAAGGTCAATGTCTCATGTGCAGAAACACAATACCTGAATGAGATCTACTGGATTACATAGAATTAGATGAACTAGTCCTGGAATCGTAGGGCTTATGTTTTTAAGGACAGTCTTTCTGTCAGCAGATTATGTGTGTGTGTGTGTGTATACACACCTACTCATATAAAGACATAACCAGACTACTGAGCAACGGGCATGAATAATTGACTAATCTTGCTCTCATTTCTTCTAGTTGTCACCTCAATGGCCACTACTACTGGTCCTACAAAGGCTTCTCCGACAGAGGAGAGCAGTAAGTTGTTGTCTATTTTTGCCCCTATGTCATGCTATAGGCTTTTTCCCCCTTCTGGTCAACTTAACTTTTGTACTTCTCAGGCTCAAAGCAGAAAAGACTAATTGTTCCTGGAATTGTGGGGCTCATAATTTTCATATTTTTAATGACTGTTCCTCTTGGCTGCCAGCACATTCTATGAGTACAGATACTGTTAAAAAATGGACCTGGAAAATTGACTAAAACTTGGTCTCATTTCTTCTAGTTGCCACTACTCCTGATTCTACAATAGTTTCCCCAACAGAGGAAAGTGGTGAGTTTTTGTATATGCCTGCCTTCCTGTTAACGCTATAGCAATTTTTTCCCTTCCGATCAAAATACCTTTTGACCTCCCTTGTTCGTAGTAGATAAGATCATTTATTCCTGAATTGGTGGAGCTCATATTTTTAATGAGTCTCTCTCCTGGGTCTCTGTTGACAGATTTTATATATTTGTGTGTGTGTATGTATATATATAAACATATATATTAACTGTCAAATAACAGGCATGAACAGTTGACTAATACTTGCTCTCATTTCTTCTAGAGCTCGCTGCTCTTAATTACACACAAGCTTGTCTGAATGACGAAAGCGGTAAGATCTTGTATATGTTTGCCTTTATGTCATGGTATAGCAATTTGTTCATCCTGATTATCTTAACTTTTAAACGTCCCTGACTTAAGGTGAAAAAGTAGAATGGCTGAATGTTTAAGAATAGGCCGCGTGGTAATTTAAGTCAATCCATTGTTTCCTAGAGTCATCTTAACACAGTACATGCTGATTTCGTGATGACATGACTATAAATTAGACAGTGCTGTGTTAGGCTCTGAATTATTTCAACAATGGACTTCATTCATTTGTGTGGCTTTTGTTTTCTGATGACTGGGGAATACGAGATATCAAGGTGCTTCTAGGTTTCTTTCTTTCATTTTTCTTTTTAAAGATTTGTACCTGAGCTAACAAATGTTGTCAGGCTTTTCTTTTTTTCCATCTTCTTCTCCCCAAAGACCCCTGGTACATAGTTGCTTACTCTAGTTGTGAGTACCTCTGGCTGTGTGACGTGGGATACCGCCTCGGCATGGCCTGCTGAGCGGCATCATGTCAGCCCCTGGGATCCGAACCTGGGAAACCCCGGGACACTGAAGCAGAGCTCACACACTTAACCACTTGACCCTGGGCGGGCCCCTAGATTTCTTTTTAAGTCTTTGGTCCTTGCTGGTAGCTAATAACATGAACGGACATGTACTGAGAGCAGCCTACACCGAAGGCATTGTGCTGGGTTTTACAGGCATTTTCTTGTTTAATTTTCATAATAGTCCTGGGAGGTGATATCATATTTTACACCCATTTTATTCATGAGGACAATGAGTTAAAATGAAGTCCCTTGCACCATGCGACACAGCTAGATCTCAGGTTTCAATCCGGCTATCTGAATCAAGCGTTCATACACTTACTCAGTTTTCTCTTTTTTACTCTAAAATATACTTATACACAAGAAACCCAAAACCACAGCCCAGAGACACGATGGACTCATGGTGGGGGGTGGGCAATAGCATGGGCTTCACAGTATCCTAGACTGGACTTGAACCTAGTTTTTTCACTTTTTAGTTATGTGAATATGGGTAAAATACTTACATTTTCTGAGCAAGACTTTCCTCATCTGCCAACTAGGAATAATTACAGTTATTGAAGAGATAAGGTCACCTGCGTGGAATGGCTAGCATACGATATCTCGTTTAGCTGGCACAGAACCAGTACCTGCTTCTCGTACTGTCTCCCTGCAAATGTATAAAGAAAATGACTAGAAGCATTGGCTTCAGCCCCGTTGATCGTCCCTCCATTTCCAATATCGAGGGGTTCTGGACCTCAGCTAACACCTAACCTGGCCAAGGGCAAGGAGTTATGACCACATTGCCTCTGAGATCCCTTTCCACAGCAAGTGCTAATGATTCGGAAGTTCTGACCCGTGATGATAAAACACATAAAGGGAAATTTTCACAGGAAGAGGCTCAGCAATGTGGTTCATTGAATAGCCAGTCTGGTTCATCATCATTGTCGTTAGTTATTTCTTGACATTATACATTTCTTGCCAAACTTCAAAGGGTATTAAGTGCAATTGTACTCTAATATCATAGCCACAATGAGAGACATTTAGAAAGAACAGGTGAGTGAGTCATGACCTCCTAAAGTTTCTGAGAATTTGGATTAACCACTCTCTTCTGTTTTCTATAATGCCCTCTTTACTCAAACCTCCCACCCACGCCACGGTGAACACCACAAAATTTCCGTGGACGGTACTCTTGATAGGAATCTCATGGCATGCACAACATGCAATGGTTCAGATGCTTCTAAATAGAATTCAGCTTTATATTTCTTTCTAAACTTTTGATGTCTGGGGTATTTATTGCACTTAGACTAGAATTACAGAATAGCTCAGAATGTGTTCTCAAAGTCATGGTACTGGATTGAAATCTGATTTGTGGTACTAAATGCATGACACCAGTCAAATTATTTCATTCTGTCACTATATTGAAAAATGGGAATAAAAACAATAATCCCATACAATAAAGCTCATAGCTTATTGTAAAAATTAGCTAGATTAAAGCTGTGCATTCAAAGCTCTCAGAACAAATGTTTGGCCTTTGGTTAATGGTTAACGGATATCAGCTATTACTTAGGGACATAGCGGGGGTGAAGAAATGCTAAAATCTATTTTTCACAAATAATGTTTCCCATTGGACTCACGCATTAAAATGTAAACCTTATTTTTCATATTTTGTAATGGTCTAAGTGAATTTAGCAGAGGCTGCTGATTAACAGCTGTTGTAAACTGGACTCTGAGTGGTGGTGGTGTTGTCCGTGGAGGTGGTGGGAGGAAATGTGTGCCTTCCTGTTTTGGTGGTGCAGGGATGTCACTGCAATGTCCGTCGTCAGAAATAGAGAACTGTGACCACCCTCCCTTTATATGTCCATTATTGCAAAGAACAGTCAAAACTAATCATACGACTTCTCTTAGACACCCTGCGGCTGCAGCTCACCAACACCTCTGCCTATTACACCTACCTCGTGTTCCTTCTCGTGAGCGCAGTCTACCTTGCCACCGTCGCCTTGTGTGTGTTAAGGAGAACAGCAGTCTGCGGCAATGGAAAGATTTCGTAACAGATGGTGACCCAAGAAATCAACTTTCCTCCATTGTTTATATTCCCTAAAACTTTCTGCTGAGGATCTAGTCGGACTTTCTCTCTGGGTTTGGGTTATTTCAGCTCACATGCGTACTTTTCTGTTATGTCATTATTGTGTAATGGTTTTTCAAATCACTGGACAAACAGAAAATCCTACTCTGTAACGATGCTGAATACTGCCACTACTCAGGGGCAGGGCCAAGCGGTAGTCCTTTAGCACCACTCTCTCCATGATCTCCATCAGCTCCTCCAACAACCCGAATAACCATGCCTTCTGAGTACAGACAGCATGCAGCTCTAGTCACGTCGCTTAGGACCTTTTAACCAGAACCGCCTTGAAGCCTTCCATTTTACACATCCTAATCTGACATCATTGGTACTTAAATTCTATATTTTGTTTTTCATAATAGGATCAATAAAAAACATCAAAAGTCTACCTCTGTCTCTGTGTACTTTAATTTGATTAAATCTAACTGAAAGTCCAAGATAAGAAGCAGCATGACACCTGAGCCATCACATCCAGTGCTGGGTTTGATGATGCCAATACCACAGTTGTAATTCTTTCCCTGAGGTAGGGGTCATGACGATTTCTTTGGGGCACTGGCTCCAAGAGGAGCCACAGTCACATGAAGGCACCCAGGTTACTTCTCTTTCAAAGGTCACCAGATTCACACTCATTTGGTTTGGGACATTCCAATGGTGTAAGTATAATGTCTTGAATGACTTGCACTGTGTGTGCTCAGCTCCGCAACAGTGTTTAAAAGCACTGTGATTCCTGCTCCTCACAATAATCACCTTAGACCTGCACTCATATCAAGAGACATCGCAGTAGAGGGGTTAAGCCCCTGGACTCTGAGCCCAGAGTACCTGGGCTTGAATCCTGTGTTTAGCATTAGCATCTGTGTGACCTCAGGGAAGCTATTTGAACTCTCTGTGCCATCACTTCCTCATCTGTAGAATGGAGTTACAGTGCCCTGTCTCCTGGAGTTGTGTGGATTAGATGAGTTAATAATGCCTGGTTCTTGCAAGTCCCCAGTAACATTAGCATCTACTGTTGGCAGTTCTAATGTAGAGGTCATAGATCAACACAGAAACACTGACAGTCATCTGTAATCTCATTTCCCCTTAGAAAGTTTTGTTGTGGGTGGAATAGTGAGTTTAAGTTTCTGCTATAGACCAGGCAACCCTACTAATCCCCTAGGAGCCCCCAGAGGTAGGTACAATTATAGTCCACACTGTAGATATTGGAGAGATTAATTTTTCTGCTCAAGGTCACTATTTTGTAAGTAATAGTCACTTAAATCCAGGTCTCTTTGAACTCAGAGCCAGTAGTTTCTAACCTACTATCAAGTGGCTTTCCCTTAAAACACTGTCAACTGGGAAAAACGAAACAAAACCAAACCTGCATTGCTTCTTTACCAAGAGCATCCTCCAAGGAGTCAGTGAGAATTTTGTTAAGGGCTTGTGGTGCATCTCTCTTTTCTCCTCATGTATATACGCCGTTATTCCCATAATTGCCCCCTTTGAAATCAACAGTATGGAAATCCTACTTTATACTGTGAGGGTCGGTCCTAGATTTGCAACTGCTGTTTGTGGGTTGCTAATGAAACGGACTGAGAGACTCAGGCTCAGCCGGCCCATTAATGGTGCTCTCTGGGCGGACTATTCTGATACCTCAGCTGCTCCCCTAGACAGAATGGGCCCAGGGGTCCTCAGAATCAACTGTGGAAGTCTCTGGTAGGTCCAGGTGCATTTCTGAGGTAGGAAGTAGGCTACACATCATTTTTAGTCCAGTACTTTTCCTTCACAGCATGACTGCCACATAGTGTTGTGGGAGAAACACTGGCCCAGCGGTTATACCTCAAATCCCATAGTTAGAGCCTCAGCTTCTTGTTCTACTGCTAACTAGTTATTTTGTTCTTGACCATGTCGCATTGTCTAAATTTAACCAGCTTTAGAAGAAAGTGTTCAAATAAAATAATAGCAGGTTTACTGTACAATTTACAAATTCAATGATTAACATCTGAATGAAGTGTTAGTAGCAAATGTTGATATGGTGCTCACTGGTACTGGTCTAAGTATATGTTAAATTTTTACTCTCATAAGCACCCTAGGAGATAAGTACAATTATCTCTGTTTTTAGATGGGGAAACTGAGACAGAGAGGAGATATAAAGAATGTCCCATTCGTAAGATAACTATCGAGACACAGAGCTGGGATTGGAACCCAAGGAGTCTGGCTGCAGGAGTTCTGCTCTTAAACGCTGCATTATCTGCTACTAGAGTAGAAACAGGTTACTTTTAGTTTCAATTAAAACGGGAAAATTTTCTTCCTTATTGGGCTGAGAGCTGGTGGAGGGAACTGCCTCTTCACCTGTCCACACTTCCTCTCCTTGCTCCTAGGCTCTTCCTACATTTTGAGGGTCATAGGCCAAGCTGCCACACAGTTTTTCTGCGGGATGACTTTTATACACTGTCCTCCACCCACCAATAGGACTTTGTGATTAAAGCCCATGGAACCTGGGTGGGTAAAATAGATACTAAAACAACAGGTTGCATCCACATGTGTGCTATGGAAAAACTAGGCAAAGATTTACACAATTCCACATGAAAACATGCATCTCAGTAGTGTTTGGAAAGCTAAAGTCTCCATATAATTCTCAAGGATGACAAAGGGAAACCTCAAGGCAAATTTCTCAAAATTCCCCGTGATTAATTCTCTCTACTGCTTCAGAGATTTTTTTCCCCTGATACATCATTTTTGAAGGCCTTCTGTAAATCAAGCAGGTCACAGTTTAGTAATATTTCATTTTCTCCTCTACATTAATCAAAGTCCCATGTAACTGCTAATTAGAAAATCTGAGTAGTAAGAGCTAACCAGAGATACTGTACCAACATGATACAATTCACCAAAAAGGCTAGAATCTCAATGTCTTCTTTAGCCATGAAATCTTACTGGGTAAATGTATATATCCTGACCTGTTTTGTTATTCTACTTTTTGTTTGCTTGCTATCTTTTGCTTTGTTTAAGTAACGGCAAGTACCTACCACTAAGTGAGCATCAGGAATTCTGCTAGGCAGTTTGCGTGCTGTATGTCTAGTGTTCTCACTGTGCCATGTATGGGTATCACGTTCATCTCACTGATGAGAAGACTTGGTCCTAAAGAGGCTAAAATATATGCCTGAGATTAAAGCTGGAGTAGATCCCCAGGGCATGACTCCAGGTCTGCCTGACTTAAGTTCTTCTGCTGTATCCATTATCCCAGTGGCTCTCCTCTTGGGAGCCTTTAAAAAATCCCTGAGGCCCAGCCTTCATCACAGGCAAAGTGGGCATCTTTAAAAAACCTCCTTCAATATTCTAATGTGCACCAGGGTGGAAGCCAGGAAGTGACTGAAAGAACCCCTGAGCGCCAGCGCTGCTGTCCCAGATCACACACAGTGAAGAGCCATCACAGAGCCAATCACACAAGTGAGAACGTGCTGCATCCCTGAAACGGTTCTTATCATTCCACCCATCGATATCCTAAAGAAACAAAATGTATGTACGAAGATTTATATGCAAGGATGTTCATTCACCATAGCACTGTTTATAGCAGCCCCAAGTTAACCCAACTGCTCAAAAAGAAACTAAAGGATGTCATCATCGTCTACTATGCATCTTCAAAAGTGTAGATTGTTTAAAGAAGCTGAAAATTAATCAGAAAGCATTGGTGAAAATATAATATACATAGCCTGACCCTACAAAAATTGTTGGATAACTTCACGTGGTGGAAAATTCAAAACCTCTAAAAAAATGCAGTAAGGGATCTTGCTTCAACCACTGTCTCTACCTCTCTCACTTCTTACAGATCGTACTTTTGTTTCTTGTGCTTCCTTACAGTTTTTATTTCAGCAAATATGAATGTACACATATAAATATGTGTGCCTGTATATATATTCTCATTTGCTCCCTTTTTACCCAGAGGTAGTAAACGATATGCGTTATTCTGTACTTCTCTTTTCCCTTAAACTTCCTAGAGCTCTTTTTAGAGGGTTTCTTAGAGGCTGCCTAATATTTCACCAATGAATGTACAACACTTTCCAAAATCAGTTCCCTGTGACAGGCCGTTGGTTCATTTCCAATCTTTTGCTCTTATAAAAAGTGCTGAAATTATAATAGTGTTTTCTGAAATTTTGAACACATGCTTTGTTCATTTTAAAAGGTATTGCCAACTTGCCCTTGATAGAGAGAGCACCATTTTGTACTTCTACCACCGTGTCGGTGAGCACCAAGAATGTGCCTCAGGAGTCTGCAAATCTGACAAGAGAATAATACTATCTCATCACAGTTGTAATTTGCTTTTCTCTTACCAGGAGTGAGGATAAACATCGTTTCATGTAGTGAACATCGATATTTCTTTTTCTGTGGAATATTTGTTCATAATCTTTCACCATGTTTTACTTTGAGATATAAAAACAACAGATATGACACTCATTTACATGATTCTCTCTATTTCTACAGGCGTAGACATAAAATATGATGTCCAATGTATGGTAGGAGAGTGTAAAAATGATGAGATTGCATATTTTTCAATTTTCTCTGACTAATCCTTTTAAAGTAAAAACCTTTATATATTCAAAGTAAACAATGTCTTATTTAAAAGTGGGGATTTTTTTTGTTTGTTTATTTCTTTACAATCAGAGTTAGTTTCTGTGAAACATGTTCCTTTGGAAACCAAGTAGAGTTTCTCATTTGGAAACAAAATAAGACCGATCAGATCCAAGAAAGGTGAATTTTGCAGATTCTCTAGGCCCAATCCCTGACCCTCTACTTAGAGACCTGGAACTATATCTACATTGGGAAAGAGTAGAAGCAAAAAGGGGAAACCTGCAAATCACTGAGAGCTTTGTGCAGCTGACTTCACTGAAAGGTACTACTAGGCAGTGTCTCCTATGGCTTCCAACTTCTGAGCAGCTTCCTTCTGCACTGGGCCTGGGCTGCCCTGAACGAGGTGGCACAGAGAGGGAGAGCACAGGTGGTGGAGGGGGACAGCCTGGGTGGAGAGAGGGGGCTAGTGTGGCTGCTGGTGTGTTATTTTCACAGGCTTCTCTTGTGTACCTGCTCTGTCCAATGTGGTTGATTTGTGGAAAATGCTCAAACTCAAACCGACCCCTACTGCTTGGGGTTGTGGGAGCAGTGGGTTGGGAGTCATAAGACAAAATAAGAACAGTTAAACCACAACCACCTTCGCTCACTTTTCAAAATGTCATGCCAATCGAAAGGAAATAACCATCTACACCCACATGCAACTGCTATCAAACATACCCTTAGGCTGCAGGTAGGGGGTTCCCTGCCTTTTACATACAAAGTTCACTCAAGTAGGGACTACATGAGTTGGGATTTTATGCCCAGGACTGCTCAGATGCTGCATCTCAGTCCACTCTCATGACCCTGTTC